CACACACACACACACACACACACACACACACGCTCTATTCATAGCTTCAGACAGAGCTACTTTGGAGTGTTTTGTTTATCTTGCGCTGCTCTGATGAGAGCACTTGAGGTGATTCAGCTGCGAGAAACAGCCCGAGTGAGTTATTTATTGAATAGACTGAAACTGTTCCACTTTGTATAAACGCTCAGGTTCAGTCCTGGTCCTGCAGAGCTAAAGAGATGAGGAAGAGGTCTGAAGATGCCTACCAAAAAGATTATATATTAAAATAAAATGAATTAAAATATATGATATGTTTATATAAATATATATATATATATATATACATATTTAAATATGTCTGTAAGCAATGAGGCCAAAATTTAGGCAGCTGCAGGAAATCAAGCACATGGAGTGAACTTAGTGTTTTTGCCCTGTCTAGTTTGCATGTTGGGGAAGTAAAGAAATTATCTTATTAAGATTTGGTGGAGAGGTGAATGAGAGTGGATGAGAGTGGCTTTTCTCTTCACCTTTTCTCTTGTTCTATGGAGCTGCTTCTTAAGCTACTAATTCTGTAGATACTTGTATGTTTTCACATCAACAGTGACTTAAATAAAGAAACAAACATGATTGCATAAAGACATTTAAAACATGTTGTTTCGCACAGTAAGTAGGTCACTGTTAGCCATTGTGTAATCACAAAATTAGTAGCTGGTCAAACTCTGCTAACTGTGCAGCAGAAAATGAAGCTTTGGTGCCACTCAGTGGAAAAACCAAGCAACTGCCTTACAGTCCGTTACAGCAGCGGTCCCCAACCCCGGGCCACGGAGTCAGAGTCAGAGTCGAGAGTTGAGGCTCTGGTGTGAAATTTATGGTTTTCAGGGTTTTTATCTTTTTTTTTCCATTATTTTTTTTTAATAATTGTTTTTATTGTTAACTCGGGTTCCCTGGGTCTTTTCCCATGTGTTATGAATTAATCTTTTGTTTTTGGTATTTTTATTTTGTTGTATTTATCTGCGACACCTTAAAGCGGTCCGTGAAAATATTTTTGGACATAAATCGGTCCGTGGTGCAAAAAAGGTTGGGGACCGCTGCCTTACAGTCTACAGTACATTGTAGGCTTCAGTATGATTTTCCCACTTATATTTTAAAATAATTAGGAATATTTTAATGTTATTTAGTAGCATTATTTATCCATCAATCTATTTTCTTAACTGACAATCTGATTTACTATCATGAAGATCCTGAAGCACATCACAGCTGTCATAAGGTGAGAGGCAGGGCTCACTTTCACTCCTGCTTTATTTAAGTGTATACAACTCTGATGTGCTGTATCTTATTCCTGATTGACATGGATTTGGTTTATGTACCAATATTACTGAAACACAGGCAGTCATGTGAAGAGGAAAGCACACCCTCTTTAACTTTTGTGCTTTTATATATCAGCACATAATGCAAAAAAGCCCATTCGCTCTTTATTGGTTGCCGAAGCAGTGTGTGGAAAAGGAAACACACTCTGTGATTCAGCAGCTTGTAGAAGCATTTTTAGCAGCCAATGGTTTTCTGTGTGACTTCATCCACGTCTCACATTGTTGTGGAGGAATTCTGGCGCACTCTTGTTTCTAACATTACTTTAGTTTACTGAAGTTTGCAGGCATTTGTTTATGCACAGCCACAGCATTTAAGTTGGGTTGAGATCTGGTGAATTTTTTAATCATATCCTGATACATAAAACCTTTGATATGAAAAGCAGAGGGGAGGATTTCTTGTTCACATGACTGTGAGTTACACTGTTAAGCACTGTTCTCATGTTTGCTTTTTCTTGTTTAAAAGAATCCACATGAAAAATTCAGAAGTCAAACCTCTCTTTGACAGGCTTACTGTCTGAAACCAGAGGAACTGGCCGACCCAGTTTCTGGTTTTCTGTAAAAAGCTTAAACAAATATGAACACACGTGTTGAAACTTAAACAATACCTGCAGATTTTTGTCTTCAGGTAAGCTGTAACGGCAGCTGTGAATTAAAGCATGTTGTTTTTATCTAACATGGAGTGACGTTTGAAGGAGTAGCTGCTTCCTCATGTTGCCTGAAAAATAAGCTGGATTGTTGAAACCGCAGTAGCGCCAGGTCTGATTTTATGTTCTGTGCCACTAAATATACACAGTTCACCCAAAACACAATCTAAAAATACTAGAAAGGATATTATATCATACACACGACTTGTTTTCTACCTGCAGACGCTTACCGATTCTGCACACTGCACTGCACCGGGTACATGCGGAGCTGGCCGAGCAGCCAGCTGGACTCGCTGGAGGCCGACGCCGACAAGGAAAGCTCGACCCTGACGTGCCTGGTGACCATGTGCCGCCTCTACTCTCACGCGTCCCATCAGCCTTCCAAAGACATCAACGTCAAGCCCACTGAGTTCGTCACTCGCTGTGCGATTGACGGCAAGTTCACTTTTGTAGATCAACAGTGAGTTTCCCCTTTCTAACTACATCCATGTGCACCATGTATCTTTCCGCCGTGAGTCATGGATTTGCTGTGCGCACGCAGTTCTGCTGAGAAAAGAATGGCAGAGGCGTTGCGTGGTGGAGAGGCCTCTGAGCGCAGCAGCGTGAGATTTGTCGGTCGGACTGTCAGTGGAGATAATCATTTCTGTGTCTGCCGTTGTTTCTCAGAAAGACCTGAGCATCTTGAGGGCATCACGTGAAAATCTCTTCTCATTTTTTGGGAAGTAATTTCACAACACAAGTATAGTGAATCACTTTATTAAATGAATTACCCATGTGTGTGACTGATGAATGTTACATGAGAGGCTTATTTATACTATGCTAACACTTTATCATAAGGGAGGCGAAAACTTTCTTAGTTGCCGAAGAACGAATCAGGAATGCCTTAATGAATATTTACTATAAAACAAGCCAACATCTACTTCAGAGTACCATATCACCCTGGTAGAGCCTTGACTGACTGCTGGCTTACTTGAATACTTACTAGAGTATTTAAAAGTACCCTAGCTTTCAGCTGTCAGGCCTCTCTTCTGTGACACCAGCTCCTAGTTTGGATTCAGAAGACAGACACTGTCTCTCCTTTCAAGATTAGACTTAAAACTATAGTTCAGGCTCAATCAGGTGAGCCTTGCTTAGTTATGTTACAATAGGCCTAGACTGCTGTGCCTGTGAGGCACTGACTGCTTCTTCTTTTTGCTCTGTATATGTTTATACACCATCTAATCATTAGTTATTACTAATTACTATTATTAATTACTCTGGCTTGGCTCTCTTCCACAGTGTGTCTTTGATCTGTCTTCCTCCCCTCCTCTCACCCCCAACCAGATGGCCCCGCCCTTCCCTGAGCCTGATTCTGCTGGAGGTTTCTTCCTGTTAAAAGGGAGTTTTTCCTTCCCGCTGTCACCAAGTTTTTGCTCATATGGGGTTGTGTGACTGTTGAGGTTTTCTCTGTATTATCGTAGGATCTTAATCGTACTTAAAGGAGCTTAAAGCGACTGTTTTTGAATGAAATGAACATATGCTATTTCAGTGGCGTGTCAAGTATGAATTAGTTCATAACTGTCTGGAAGCTAATCTCCCTGTTTCTTCATTAGCCTTCCTGATCAAAATGTAACCACTTATTTATTACATATTATCCAAAATTCCAATACATTTCAGTCAGATTTTTTTGCAATGTAGCAAATAAACCATCCACAAATATGACATAAACCCATTTGTGTTTAATGGCTGAATATTTTGGTTTCATGAAACAAACATTAAATGACATTATTAATAGCATTTTTTAGACATGAAGCAAAGGAAAAGTCATAACCAGAATCACAGTTAGTCTTTTCTCAGATAGTGGGTGACAGATCAGCTTTGCAGGACGGTTATTGGCCCCCTATGTTTTTCCTGAAAAAA